TAATAAATTTGTTTTGTAAGTTGTAACAAGTTGTAAAAGAAAAACGTTGTTATCTCTTTTCTTCTTTTAACAAATTATTTCCTTTTTTTTATATATTTTTCACCACTGAAATCCCGCTCTAGACTTAAAATCTTTGATGGATTGAGATGAGATGAATGTTTTATCCTTCAGCCCAGATTACTTAGATTAGTTGAACTTGATGGCTGGAATAGGGGCTTTGTCCCCCACATCAGCCATGCACGTGAAGTGAGAGATTGAGTGGTTGTGGGGTGTTGTGTTATTATTGGTCACACAGCCTCTAACACAGCCATCAAGTTCAGCTAATTCCGATCCGTTTCAATTCTTTGTTGCTGCCAGTACCCAAGGCCCCAACCCAGATTTAACCCGACTAGAATACACCCATAGCCATATATACATCATCAAGCAAAGCAAGAAGTGGCGGGTCCAAACCAAATGGCTACTTACTAGCTAGTCAATTGTGCCGGATTCACACACCTGACACCCCAGCCCAGAGTCCAGAAGGAATGGTAAATGGTAATTAAGAATAACTGGAGTCGAAGTTAAATAAGCACACACAGGCATTACTTAGGCATGCAACCCAACCCAGATTGGAGGGATCGGTGAGTCGACCCAAGAACTGCCATCAGGAGCAGGAGATCCCATGGGGAGGTGAGAGATCATCATCAGAGAGTACATGCATGTAACGTGGAGATTGCCAGAGGACGTTAGCATTTAGCATGTTAGCACAGCTCGCTATCTGCTGGGAGTTGGGAGTTGGAGAACAGAATACAACAGAGATAGAGGGCGTGGGACCCCCATTAACTGAGCCTGACAAAGAAGAGCATGTGATGTCAGCCCTCTTAGAGGCTAGACTACTACTGACAAATTTGTCAAGTATAACCCTCCACCTCCAGGTCCAGGAGTTTGTAGGGGCCAAGCTAGCGCAGAATATAACAGTAGAAAGGGAGCAAGTAGAGACGAGAGCCTTCACCCTTTTGTCCAGGCAAATCGATATGTCTGTCATAGGGGATCTCTTTTACTCGTACAGATATATCTATGATTCTCTGTAGCCGCCAAGAGTGAAGAAAATGACCACAGATGCGCCAAAAAGCAACACAACACACACTCACAGAAAGAGGGGAGAGGTTGTGGTTTTTCTAGTATCACTCGTCTCCAATAATCTCCACTCATTATCGTCCCCTACCCCCCGGAAACAAATAGATTTTTTTTTTCTTCTTAATTTAAAAAAGAAAAAGAAACACTGGAGTGTAATAGTGCTTCCAAATCTGATTTCTGCAACTCTCAATTCTTGTGTACAATCTTGGTTGTCTCTCCTCTTCTAAAAAGACTGGTTTCTCTTGGGGCATCTCCACGTTGGATGTCACGGACACCCCTAGGAGGCGGAGGGGTTTCAAACGAAGTACATAAAAGCTAGCAGATCCATCATGGAATTCGTAGGGCCCCAAGATGAAGAGCTGCAGTAGCTGATGAAGTGAAAAGTGACAATCCAGAAGCCATCCAAATCCAAATTAAAGACGACCAAACAAAACAAATCTCACTTGGATGGGCATGGGGCCACTGCTTGGACGCAAATTAAAGCTTGCGCTGTGTCTGGCTCCGGCCTCTCTGTGTGTGATCATGAAAGAGACCTCTCTAATGGCCACTGGGCTTGGAAACTGGAAAGCCCTGACATGCTTCATCAGTAATTTGAGCTCTCTATACATTCATTGAGGTTGAGGGGTCATTGCCTACTAACTTGAGTAACGTGGGGCGTGGGCGAGACAACTGAAAAAGCACGGCATTGGAATTCAGAATTTCAGATCACCAAATCTCAAGTTATTCTTGAGTTGTAACAATATGATGAATCCCAACTTCCTAGATTTTGGATGTGGAACCTCTGTTTTAACTCAGTCTGTAAGGCTGGTTTCTCATTTCACCCTTCTTGGATGGTTGTTTGTTTTTTTCTTCAGGCCAAAAAGGAATTAAAACCCTCTGATAGATTAGTAAGATGTGTGGCAGTTAAGTAAATGGCTCACATTGATCCATTAGAAGCTGAAATTACTGCTTGGAAACCGACCAGTCCGGCAGTTTTTGCCTTTCTAACAGTCTTTTTTTATACACCTGTAAAGACAAATATAAGGTTCAAAAAAAGAGGGTGTGAAAGATCCTGGCAATGAAAATTTCCAGAGAAGGAATTCCGTTGAGTACATTCCTTTTAGGCTTTTACAGAACCCGAGAGAAGGGAGAAGTGAAATCGAAATGATCAAGCAGCGATTTGAGAAAGAAAGAGCAAAAGGGAATTGACTCAAGACCCTAGAAAATAAACCCCACCTTAAAAAGAAGGCCAAGGATCAGAGTGCGTGCAACTGAGCAAAGAGCTTATTTCATATTTGCTTAGTGAACTAGACTAGAGCTTCAGCATATAAATGGGCTTTTATCATTCTCGTGGCTCGGTGTACGCAAAGAAGCTCGTCTGTTTGTTATGTTTTGTTATAATCAGTCATCGAATTCTATGCTTTTATTATTAGGCAATTGCCAAGGGATTACATTGGGTACAGCTAAAGCAACCTATCTACCATCTACATCCATCGATCATCAATACAATCCAACCCACATTCAATCCGACCCAGCTATAAGTGTTTGGTGGCAGTCTCTAAGAGTCCAAACTTCCAAATATGAATACGTATTGTATTGTATCGGTAACCCAAGGTCACTGACACTCGAAGTAATAGAAAATTATTTAAACACATATAATTTAACATTGGATGTGGGAGTGAAGTAGGGATTGCAACCAGGTGGGTTTAGGGAGAGTTTTGCAAATTCTAAACTATACCCACCTCTCAATCCATACCTTTCCCTGCATATTAAAATGCAAAACCCTTTATAATTCTACCTTTCTTGCATTGAGGGTGGGATAGGTCGAATTGGATCCAAAATTCCCATCTAATTTCCTGTTAAATATGAGCAATAAACCAGCCAAATAACATAAAAAAACTTTCAATTATTTGATTAAAACATGTAAAAAGTGCATAATTTATCAATTGTCATTTACATAAAATTTAAAATATTATTAAATTCAACTTCTATTATATAAATTTTATATGCCATTTACAATATGTGGATCAGAAAGGGTTGAATTTAGCCTAATATCGTACTCTATCTGTATTCGTACAGGTTATAAATTTATTTTATACATTATATAATATAAATTATGCGTATTATATTATAATATTTATAAAAAAAATATTGATGAATTAACAAAATCAGATACGTGCAACCATCTGGATCTGCTCTCCCATTGTACGTGAACCTAATAGTAGGATCAGCAACCTGTCAGCTTCCCAGATTCAACAACCCCTTCTTCCCATCTTTCATTTTTTTCCAAGTGACCAGGTCCAAACCCCACTGAACATCAAAACAAAACAGAACTGAACCACGTCTTCTACCCTCAAACCGAAACAAAGTATGACTACTGGTTCCCCCAATTCCTACTACGGTTTTGGTTACTAATTCCCACAATTGTGGTGGTGAAAAAAGACGGGGAACCCCACAGTAGGATTTTATTCAATGTTGAGAATATATTAAAGAAATATATGTTCACAGCAAAGGATTTGGAGCAGTTGCTACAAAGTGCAATGCTTCAATTCTCTAAACTTGTGACAGCACCACGATATCATTGTCGGAGTCTTTGTTTTGTTAATCTCCAATGATTAGAAATATGATCAAATTTCCTTTTTAACTTTGTAATTACTTTGAAAAGTCAGGTCCACTTTCATAACTTGTATTATAAGGGAAGGGGTTTTGATCAGAAAAAAGCAAAAGATGGATACTGTTGTCAGTGTCTAGCTTTCTTTTTTATTTTTAATTAAAAGCAATTTTGTCCAAAATTTTTTAAATTTTGTCAATCTCTCTGATTTGGTCATATTTTTCTAAAGATAACTGAATTTGTAAATTTATCAAACGTTGTCATAGGGCTGTTCATAAGAAGATTCAAACTGACCAAATTGATCAATTTGGACTGACCTAATTTGAGTCGGCCAGGTTTTTTTCAGTACCGGTCGGTTTCGGATTGTAAAAAATCATAAACCGATGGTTCGGATCAGTTTCAGTTTTCATATGTAAAAACCGAAACCGAACCGACTTAGTAGTTAGTAGTTAGTAGTTACAACCTAACTTAATTTCTAGTTTTCTAGTTAGGAATGACACTAATGGCAAGTATTGTAAGACAATTAGACAATAAATTTTTTTGAAAAAATTTAAAGAAAAAAATCAAAGGATCCTAGTTTTTATGGTCTTTTACACGAAATAGGCAACCAATTACAATTAGAATTAAGTGTCTTTTTTTACTTGGATTAGAAGGTTTCTTGAAATATACAAATTTCAGTCTTTTTTCTCTAATACAGTTTGATTTTCTATTTTCTTGATAACTTCTATTCTAACTTGGTCCGCCCCCCTACTAATTTCAGTCTTCTTTCTCTAATAGAATTAGGTGTCCTTTTTTACATCAAATTTCAGTCTTCTTTCTCCAATCTACCAATTTATTACCATGGTTGAACTTAGAGTTGAAATCGACCCAAACCGACCCAACTTGACTCAAACCGATCAGGTCGGTTTTGCTTAACACATAGTTGGTTTCGGTTTTAGTTTCAATTTCAGGTAACCCGACTAAGTCGGGTCAATTGAAAAAATCTCAATAAATCGACCCAACCCGACCCGTGAACAACCCTACTTTGTCATTTATTTTGCAAAAAGTCTTATATATATTATATATGTTCAAATATATACGGATCGGGTTTGAAGTATTAAGCCCAGGCCCCATCTTAAAATTTGTAAACTTGATGAGTAAACCGACCCTCAACACAAAACCCAGGCCCAAAGCCCGAAATTTCCGAGTCGGGCCGGGCTGAAAGAATGATCACCCTAATTTGAACTATTGATCGCCCGTTTGTACGGATAAGCTACAGCCTCTCAAATGACTGACTGACAGCCGATAGCTTTTTTACCAAACACACCACGGAAAGCCTGAAGACGCAGCGCTTCATCCCTCTCAGGGGCAACCTCGTCAATGAATTCCAGCTTTTCTCTTCCAGGCTGAAAGAAAGCCGACGGAGGAGCGAGGATAAGCCGAAGCAGAGTACCGGGGATGGCTTCACTCCTCCTTTGTCATTCTCCGTTCTCCGGTCACTGCGTTGTACCCTTTCGTTCAAAAAGTAAAGTCTCATTCTCCGGTGGTTATCGGTCTGTGCGATGTGCAGGGGATCGCCAAGCACTCTTTAGCCGCATTGCTCCCGTCTACGATAACGTCCGCCACCTGCACATTCTTTTCATTCCATACCCCAAACTCGCTTTTATTTATTTATTTATTTATTTCTATTTCAATTAATTATCACCGGCGACGACTTATTACGTTCTAATAGGGCGCCAAATTGTCCTGCGGAAGTATACAATCTGACTATTAATTATTTTTTTTTTCAGCTGAATGATTTACTGAGTTTGGGGCAACATCGCGTGTGGAAAAGGATGGCCGTCTCCTGGAGCGGGTATGCAATTTTAAACTAACACTTTCAATTCCATTTTTTATCAAAAACATCAAATTTTCTTGTTAATTAATTAGTTTTCTTTTCGTAGTCTTTTTCTTTTCATTTTTTTCTATGGTTTTTCTGTAGTTATTACCCAGAAAGAAATTTTTATTATTATTGCTTTTGAAATCGTGACATATAATTCTTGCAGGGCTAAAGAAGGAGACTGCGTGCTTGATTTGTGTTGTGGAAGTGGGGATCTGACATTCCTTTTGTCAGAGAAAATTGGATCTCGTGGGAAGGTTTGCCTACATACTTTTTCTTTTTTCCTTTCATTTTATTTTTACTATTAATAATTAATAATGGTAAACATTCTTTTTTTTTTCTTTTGTTTTTATTATACTAGTAAATGTGGACGTGCTTGCAGTTGTAACTTTAAATTACAAAACATACCTTTGTTTTCTTTACAATGACAATTATTATTAATTTATTATTATTGTTGGTGTTGTTGTATTATTTTGTATTCCATTTTCATCATAAATAAAAGTAAATTTTATTTTAACAATTTTTTATTTAATATGATGAATATATAACATTAGAAATGTTCCCAAATATTTTTGACGAAATTGTATACTTTTCAATTTTTGTGTTCTATCTTTTTTAAATATTTATTATTCAATTATGACATCACCACGAGTTTACTTGAAAAGTTTGATCATTGACCCACCATCTAGATAGGAAAGTAGCCTTGCTTTCAAATCAATTTTAAATTATATATTTCATCTACATTATATGAATAACGTTTGTTTATCATACTTAATTTTTATTTGATTCTTTGTACCTTTTTATTTTTTAAAAATTTATTATTTTACTATAACATCATTGGTTAATCCATTTGACCCAAACAACTAACCTACCACCCCAACCATTTATTATTGTATTTCCATCATTGATAAAATTATGTATAATACTTATTTTTGTTCAATATGATGAATGTATAATATTATAGATGACCTAATATTTTATTTTATTTATATATATAACATCAAATATGTGCCCAGATTGTTCTCTAATTTTTTCTTTATTTTTGTGATTTTTTGTTTTTATTTTAAAAATTTTATTATTTGACTATGACATTATTTAATTTAATTTCAAGGTTTATCTTAGATTTGTAATTTCATTTTCATTGTTAATAAAAATATTTCTTACATTTCATACTTAATTTTATTTAGTATAATGAATAAATAATATTAGAGATATTCTCAATTCTTTTTTCTTGTACTTTTATATATTATTTATTTTGATTTTTTATTATTTGATTATGGCATTATTGGTTAACCCATTTGACTCAAATGGTTGAATTGCTTACCCACCACTGGGAGGGATGAAAATGGTTTTATTTTCAAATTATTTATTTTTATACTATTAAAATCAATGTTATGGTTTTAATTAATAGAATTTAATGATGAGAAAAATATATCTTAAATATAGGATTTAATGAGAGAATATACCTTAGATATGAGACTTAATGAGAGAGAATAGGAAAACAATTTTATTTCCAATTGGTTTTAAATTTTATATTCCCTTTCCGTCATTAATAAAAGTATTTCTTATTTATCATACTTATTCTTGTCTAATATGATGAATATATGATATTAAAGATGTTCCCAAAATTTTCTTTAATTTCTATATTTTTTTTTGCATTTTATCAAGTTTTAATTTTTTATTATTTAACTGTGGCAACAATGCAACATGGGTTGGCCTATTTGACCCAAATTGTTTAATTTCTTACAACTACATAAAAATACTGCTTTTCCAAGTCAGTTTCAAAAGTACAAGTTTTTATGTTATTAGAATTATTTATGTATGGATTTAATTAGTGGAATTTAATAATTAAAAGAAACAAAAATGCCTTAAATGTATGGTTAAATGAGGGTGAATGAGTTAATACCTTAAATGGAATTTAATGAGAGGGAATTGAATGCAATGAATAATAGTATTCAAATTACATTTTCTGCTCTGATAATAGATAGGGACCCTATTCCAAAAAGGGGTATTTTAGTCCAAAAAATTTCCAGAAATCTTAGACCCTATTTGTACTTTTTATAGTAATATAGATAGATAGATTTATTTAATCTTTTTTTCTTTCAACAATTTGGTGGTCTTTGTTTACTGTTATTACTCACCAGAGCTCCATCCGAGGGCCTCTGTCAACAATTCAACCATGTTTGAAGTGACAAGCTTTTCTACACATACAGTAATTTGGGTCTGTTGGGCTAAAAGCCTGAAACTCGTCCACTGTAGGAAGATATGGATCCCATTTCATCTCTTGATGGGGTCAGACCTCAAGACTAGCAGACCTTGGTTTTCTTTATTTATCCATAAAATGTTGGCTGCCTGTTACTTCAAACCGTAAGTTCAGTTAGTAGTTAATGGAAGTTGCATTTTCTACTTGATAACCTGGTTACAATTCGCAGGTAACTGGTCTTGACTTCTCAAAGAATCAATTACTGGTGGCATCCTTTCGACAAGACTTGCTTTGGAAAGCTTGCTACAAAAACATTGTGTGAGCATTGGTAAATCTAGCATTTGGTCAGAACACTAACATCACTACTGAACCAAAAATTGTAAAGCTTCTTTCTCAAGCTTCCTGATGAAGCTTTCTGTTTTTTTGAGTGTGCTCAATATGTCACGGACTCACAATTTTAAGTTGCCCATTGTGCACTGTACTTCAGGGGGACTTAGAGATACACATTTTTAGTTCAACTTTTTATGACTAGACTTAGAGATGTACACATTTTTAGTTCAACCTTTTATGACTGGACTTAGAGATATACACATATTTAATTCAACCTTTTATGACTGGACATAGAGATATACACATTTTTAGTTCAACCCTTTATGACTGGATCTGAGTCATTGAAATTTAAATTTGCATACTTCTATCGACCAGCGAGATCAACCTTCTTTTCTATTTTCATACTTAAATGATTAATTACAACAATTGCAGATGGGTTGAAGGTGATGCACTTGATTTACCTTTTCCCAATGGTTATTTTGATGCAATTACTATTGGTTATGGGCTGCGGAATTTAGTGGATAGGAGTAAAGCCATGAAGGAAATGTTTCGAGTCCTGAAACCAGGTACTTTTATTAACTCCCTATTTTGTTTCTTAAGAAAGAAAAATTGTAGTTTGTATGGTAGGATTTCTAAACTTATCCTGAGCATTTCAGGCTCCAGAGTATCAATTTTGGACTTCAACAAGAGCACAGAACAATTTACTACCACAATTCAGGTACTTATCACAATATATCAAGGCATTGCATGCAATCTTCATTATTATTGTATTCGTTGATTTCTTTGAAATCAATACTGCATTGCTATCCTCATGATGTAAAGAGTTTCTTAGATTACTTTGGACTGGTCTATCCATTAGATCCAGATGCATGACATGAAAGGTTTACTGATCATGGACTGTTACACTGATATATTGAAACAAAATTGCATGGGAACATTGAAGGACAGATAGCTACCCAATTTTGAGTTCATAGAGGCATAAAGTAATTGACTAAACTCAATTAGGCCTTATCTCAACTATATGGAGTTGGCTACATGAATCCTTTTCCGCCATTCTTCTCTGTTCAATGCCTTGATCATTGTGAAATTATGGGCCTTTAAATCATTTCTAACTACCTCAATCCATTCCCCTTGCTCTTCTAAACTCTTCAACTTGTAACAAATCACTTCTTCTCATTAGTTGTGTAGATGGCTTTCTTTGCACATAACCAAACCATCTTATTCTACTTTCTCTCATTTTACCACCTATAGGAACTACTTCTACATTACTTTGGACCGGTTTATCCATCAGATCCAGATTCATAACATGTATACTGACCATGTTAGCCTTATAACCATTTTATAAGGTTTTCCATTTGTCTTAAGTGGTTTTCTCCCATCGCATAGAGCTTTGGATGCCCCCCTCCAATTTGCCCATCCTGCTCCAATTCTATGGGCGACATCCCACCTCACTCTCTCCCTTGCTATGGATTATTTGTAGAGGCATAAAGTACATGAAAAGTTAACTAGATAATTTGGGAGTTCATATTCAGACTGGTGCATCCATTATATCTTCTTTCAATCTTCTTGATGGGTGGCCTATGTTGCTATTTAGTATCTATTCCAATTTGAGGAAATGTTTTTGTTGCTTTTTCCTCTCCCATTAATTGTTTACAACGTTATTATTTTAAAATTTTTAATTTTGTCTAGGGTATTGACAAGTTTTAGTATTTCAAAATCTTAATTCCATATTTTATTTGCATATATTGGTAAAAAATGATGATATTGAGCATTTCCATTTTGCAAGGAATGGATGATTGATAATGTTGTTGTTCCGGTGGCAAGCAATTACAACCTGGCCAAGGAGTATACATACTTGAAAAGTTCAATCCGTGAATTCTTAACTGGTAAGGTCTTGGTGAAAATAAACTGTCTGAGAGGTGCATGCATGTGGAAATTATATCGTAAGAATATAATATTGACTATAGGACATTTTATCTTTATTCAGAAATATTTAACAAAGGATCCTTTCATTTCAATGTAAAATGTATAGATAAGTTATCAGACTGAAATGTTTCAGTTATTTTTGTCCCTTTCATGCAAAAAACTTAATTTCTGTACATTTACATCAGAACAAAAAAAAATTGGAAGGGAGGTGAAAGACAAAGTAATTCTGTAAAAGGGGTGAAAATAATATCTGAAATATTTCTCTAGTGAGGATTTTAACGTTTCATCTTTTTTGTGGTGGGGGGGGGGGTTCTATTTTTGATGTAAAGAGATTTCTGCCCACAGAGCCAAACAAGAATTGGTAACAGGTTTGGGTAGACAAGAAGGCACGAATAAATATGGAAAATTGAACTTTTAATCCAATGGTCAGAAGAAACCCTTTTTCAGGCAAGTGTAATATCAAATATTGAATAGCCAAAAGTACTTGTGAGAGACACTAGAGAAGGTTAGGCACAGTCTGATGTTGAACAGCAGATTGCACAGCTGGCCAACTGAGGGGGTTCCCTACATGGTGGATGTCTCAGATATTGTTCCTCCACATGGCAGAAATATGGCAGGCAGGAAGATCCTTATTTGACCAGATTAGGGAACTTTTTCCCAAAAAATCTGCCTGCAACTCAAGTGTCATTGTTATTAATCGTGATGTGTATTGGATTCCTACAACAAGGCTGCCTTTCAGTTATTGCATTTGTAGATATGGGAGAGTAGGTGCAAGACCTGGTGTCCACATCTGTCAGGCCAACTCATCTCCATCATGTAATCATGTGCAAAATTTCTTCCATGGAAACTTCAAATAGTTAAGTACTATGTTGGTACATGGTTCATATGAACTTGTTCCAAATCCTAGCGGGAAACTGTGGCTGCTCTGCACAGATAACCTTTATCCTGTATGAAACATGTTTATAGTATGCTTGGAACTTACGAACTTCTTAATGAGTGATCCTCACTATAGTTGTTCATTTAATGATGATAAACTATTTGTTGTATAGGCTCTGTTGTTATCAATGTAAAGGGAGATTTTTTTTTATTAGATTGAAATGTTTCAGCAAAAACTTTCACCCTTTTCCAAAGTAAATGGTGTGCTGCACACAAAATGGGACCAAGTTCTTAGTGAATGATCCTTGCTATAATTGTTTCATTTAATCGTCAACTTTTTATTAAATAGGTTCTGTTTGTTCCAGTGTAATTTGAGTGAGAATATGGAGAATGGAAAGTGAATATAATATTCTACAATGTTCTGATGCAGGCAGAGAGCTAGAGGAACTTGCCATGGAAGTAGGATTTTCCAGTGCCAAACATTATGAGATAGCTGGAGGCCTCATGGGAAATTTAGTAGCAACTCGTTAAATAGGAATTTCCACTTGCTTCGCATTCTCTTTGCAAGTTTTCCAAGTTTGTTCAGAAGAATGCAAGTTTATCATCAGTTAAACTGCAACTTTAGGTTAAGAATTCTTTTGTAATCTAAATCCACAATATTTACATTGACTAAAACAAAATATACTTACTGGCTTATTGCAAGTTTGCAACTCGAGTAAAAATATTAAGCAACAATCTTGGTGCTATTAAGATAGATGACCAGGAGATACCCCAATAAGAAATGAGCACATCATGGAGGGATTAGAGATGACTCTGATCAGTGACAAGATGAGGACTGAGACGATTTGGTCATGTACATCGTTGACCAACGATTGCACTGTTACAAAAATACCTAGCTGAGCTTTGTAGGGTCCTCGAAAAGTTGTTGTCTAGTGAATACCCTAACTAAAAGACCAAGAGAATAATTTAAACCAGTTTACAAGCTGGCATGCATTCAATAAGCCAAAATTCAATAACAATAGTAATAAAGTTTATTAGTTCTACAAGTTTGCCTTTCATTCAAAATTTTCTCTCAGATCAGCTCTTCTCTATCATCAGCTTGTCAACAGTATATGATTTGTCAAGCTGTTGCATGCCAGCCCATAGATCATATATTGCTCGCAATTGATTCAGCGGTGTGAAACTCTACTTTCTTGTTGCTGGAGCTTTTAATTGAAGCAGCATTAGGTGGAAGGGTGTTTCCAGTATGAGGTAATTCTTTTATTCACATTTCTATGATTTCACCTGGGATAAAACGAACTGTAGGAGACACTGGCAACTGAAGGCGAAGATGTGGCATGAAGATGTTTACATGGGTTTTCACACGTGTCATTGAACTCCATGGTATTTTCGTCGATAAAAGGTGGGTTGGTCGGTGCTGGGAGGTCTTCGTCTTTCTTTAACATCATATGTAGTGCCTTCGACATTGATGGCCGTAATGAAGGGACCTCTTGTGTGCACAGAAGTCCCACATGTACCACCCTCAAAATATCCTTCTTAATGGTGCTGTTGATATCATAGTTATGCAGCATCAAATTTGGATCAAAAAGGTCCTCTACTGTTCCCTCTTGGAATTTCCTCCATACCTGTTGCACCCAGTTGCAATGGGGAAAATGAAGAAAATAAATGGTTAAACTTGAATTATGCAAGCAGTACAGAGAATGGTAGATATGAGTACAAGAAAACTGTTCTAGAGACTTACAGAATTGACAAGACTGTCCGAGTATTCAGATGTTTTACTTCTATTGTTTTGTCTTCCAGTAACAATCTCTAGCAAAAGCACTCCAAAACTATAGACATCTGCCTTTTCTGTTAACTGACCATGAGCTAGGTACTCTGGAGCCATGTATCCTCTTTGGATCCAAAGAAAGGAATCTAAATTTATACTCATTCAAATAAAAATTTAATATCTACATGCATATGTACCAATCTCCCTAATTGATAAGTTTACAATAAATGCATGTCAGAGTGTGGAAACGCTCAGAAGGAATAGAAACTTACAGAGTTCCTGCAATTGCAGTGCTTATGTGACTTTTATCTTCTTGGAAAGACCTTGCTAACCCAAAATCAGCAATTTTCGCCCGGAGCTTTGAGTCCAATAGGATATTACTGGCTTTTATATCTCTATGGATTATTCTGATCTTGTTGTTCTCATGAAGATACACCAAACCTTCTGATGTCCCTACAATTATTTCAAATCTTTTCTCCCAGTTCAATGCTTTCCCTCTGTTTGAGTCTATTTTGCCACAAGACAATAAAATAATTATACACTTGTTAAATAGTTGTATCTTGTAAGAAAGAAAACACGAAGACAAATTCAAATAATTTAGAATCTACCATACTTCACAGAAGTAGCAATTGTTTAGTAGTATTGGTAGTTATCATTGTTCAAAGGAGTAGATTGAAGATCAGATGCTATGTGCTTTTAGCTTAGCTCAACTGTATGGAATGGTGAAAACACCTATTTTTGGTTGTTCAGCAATTTTTTTTGAGCACTGTAATCGTAAGAGGAAAGGACAATTACTGAAGTTTTATATCATACCAAAGAGGAAGCGATCAAGGCTCTTGTTTGGGAGGAATTCATAGACAAGAAGGCTTTCTGGTCCGGAACAACTACAACCCAACAGCCTGACCAGATTTTTGTGCTCCACACTGCTTATAATATTAACTTCATTGTAGAAATCTGCAGCTCTATGTTTGTTGTTAAAAAAAAGCCTCTTTACAGCAATCTCTCTTCCATCAGGCAGAACACCCTACAATGGAGGTGATTAATTTAATTAAAGATGCAAATAAAAGAAGATAATAAAAGCAGTTTGCTGAAATCTTAAAAATTCTGACTTATTAGAAGTTAGTGTTTGTAATTCCACTCTTTAAAGTTACCAGCAACTGGTGGTGATGCGCAGTTGCACATCTGTAGGCAAATTACCTTGTAAACTGTCCCAAATCCTCCATGCCCAAGCTTGTTGGCGTCATCAAAAGATCCAGTGGCCTTCTCTAGTGTAGAGTACTTGAAGTTCAAGCTACTGTCATTAAGGGTCTTTGCCAGTTTTACTGCATCATTTGAACCTGGAATCCCAGAAAATAAATACAGAAATTCAGAAAAAGGAAAGCCAGAGATCACCATCATTGTTCTCAACTAGGTTAGAACGTAGTTGATTGCCTCGTTAAAGCTCTCTGTTTAGAATCTTTTAGAACTTTATTGCTCTGAGATGGTAAGTACTAGTTTCTGGAAGTGATGTTTTTACAATCCAAAAACATAATCATGAAAATTCAACAGAGATAGGAAAGTTAATAATACGTTTTCAAGTATTGTAGTATTGTACCTCTTCTTTTCTTTTGTATTCTTCTGTGTCTCCAAATATAAGTCCCGATGGCCACTCCAACAGCCACGACGGCTACAGAACTTAAAATAGCAACTACCATCACTACTGTGTTCCCTGCAGAAGCCACATTGCAACAATCAGGTAATACAGCTTATTACGGTATTCATAAGTTGGTGTTGAGTCACTGCTGTAAATGACAATTGACTGTGTTATCATATTTGGTCCTACACATCGAACTGCAATTTGAATGGTGTTGAAACTGCTGAGGCATTGTGGGTACCTTTGGAGCTTCCGTTAGTCGTCTCAGAGTTCAAGAAATCTTTGTCTGAGTACCTCATGAAGCAACCCGTATTCAGAGCCCGACCCTCTGACCATGGCAAGCATCCTGTGACAAAAGCTGATGCGCTGTCCAAACATGCTCTGCAAGAGCTAGCATTCAATGTCTTCAAACAATTGGCCAGAACATAAGCCGACTGATTCACCGACCCAGAAACAGGCACTGCAGCCCTGGCGTAGCCTCCATTATTTGGTGCGGCCGCAACTGCTTCAGAAATAGCCCGTCTGGCCGACTCTTGGAACCTCTGTCCCATCCGGGTGGCATTCCCACACACGGGCTGGTCATTAGGACCGGTGAACTCCTGGAAAAAGCTATAGTTCTCTGCCCGCATAAAGCAACCGTCCAAAAAGATGCGGCCCCCGTTGTAGGGGAAACACTGGGGAAGGATGGTACGAGCCTCAGCGTAGCACAATACACAGTCGAGCAAGGAGAGGTCCCCATAGCATTGGGCAAGGCCGAAGTTAGCGTCAGGTCCTGAGCCCACGACTGAGGTTCCGAAACCAGTAGTGCGCATTTGGTCACTGATGTTCTCCATGGTGGCGACGAAGTTGGGGACAAAGGCGGTGGTATTATGCTCTTTTTGATGCCCGCAAAAGATTTTCACTGTTTGGGTTCTTGGGTCTCCTACTGTTGCTTTCAGTAGTAGAGATACCATGAAAAAGAAGAGGAAAGATAGCAAAGGAGCTGAGACCGACTTCCTCATCTTTTCCTAAATTGAGTGTAAAGTGCTTTGCTTTCTTCTTCTTCGTTCTCTTTTGATGCTTTCGTCTGTGGCAGAGAGAGAGAACAGAATAATCAGCCTAATCGAACTGGCAACAGTGAACATCGCTGTGTTTTGTGATCGATTCCTGCAATTGAATATTTTATAAAAAAAATCCTATCCAATCGTCATGAAATCAGAAGAGTTAAGACTGATAACTATGCCATGAGGGAGGATGGGGGTTGATCCAGCGTCCCCTCTCTGATAATTAAGGTGTGTCAATGTCAAGACAAACGCTTATACAACCTCGAAATTTATTTTTCCGCTGCTCATTAAAGTTGATTTAAGTACAGACACTGTAAAGAGTAGTTGGACATTATATTTATAATTTTATTGAGAAATTTATTCGAAGGGTTTTGGGATTTTCCGTTCACATGGATTCATGAACTAGCCTCATCCATCCTAACTCAAAAACCAGATTTGTTTCTCAAAGGCCGTGCTTCACACTAACTCCAAAGTACATCGTAGCCGTGCATTTTCCAGTAATGAAAGAGATTTTCTTAATAAACGGAATCCCTTAAGTCAACATATGACCTGTAAAGATTTAAAGGCTCTTTTGCCAACAATCAACAATTAATCATGTATTATCCTCTTCAATATCCACAGCAAAAGTCGGCAACCAAATGAAAATCAGAATAATCTATTCTATATTAAATTTATGAGTAGATGTACAAATGTAGAAATGAACATTCCAGAGAGCGCACCACCAAATGAACACCCAAACAATCAGCAATGCAATCCAACCACCATCACTTCAGACATTTATGCAGTTGATTTTGCAAGTATGAAATGCTCCCAATCGTGTTCAGTGAAAATCATACATCCTTATCAATCTTAATTAATTGAACACCCAAACAATCAGCAATGCAATCCAACTACCATCACTTCAGACATTAATCATCATGCTCGCACCCAGCCCCATCCCATGCCAATATGGGTTTCGCCTAAAGAAAACCACCACCAAAGTCAATGCAATGCGAATCTCCTCCACCTCAGTATACGACATAGCTTTTTCTATTTTATACCTAATCCCAGCTCGTTTCATAGGATCAGTGCAGTTCATCATTTTTTTTTTATTTGTACGTAACAATAGCATACGTGTGGAGGTGCGGTATAGAGTACAAACTAACCTAGCGTATTGATTTCGTACAAAATACAATAGTTAAATCTTAAATTGTGGGGATAATTTTGTTATTTCCACCCAATAGCATACGTGTGCAAGTTCTATGCACTTTATCACTACTGGAGTGAAAAATCATTTTACAGTCTACAGAACAACCTTACCATGGCGTTCAGCTAATTCTTCCTCTTTTAAATTATGATACATTAAAATTAAATGTCTTATTTATTGGTCCAATAATTGATTCTCTCAACGTAAAATGTCACATTTAATGATACATCTTTCGTAATGAATATTTATATTTAATGAGAGATGGGGGTCATCTAAGTCTTAACTAGTAATAATATCAGTGACTCACATAGTAATATCACCCTTTCCTCCGTACTTCCTATATGGCTTAAATCGGGTCAATTTTGGATCAGAACCAGTCGTATCCGAATCTGATCCAACCATTGAAATTCCAAATCCAAAATATCCCATTCGGATTTAATTCGGATCCAGTTTCTTCTCCTTACAAAATTTTAAATAAAAATAATTATTTTTTACATATACATATTATAATAAATGGGCTTCTAGGATGATATCGGAAAAATTTGATGTTTCTCGATTAGTATCTTGTATTTTGTGTCTAGTGTCACTTTGGTTCCTGAATTTTAAAATGCGATAATTCAATATTGAATTTTTAAAATGTGATAATTCAATACCTGCCATTAATCATTAGTTAACATATCGTTAAGTAACATTTTAAAAGGATATAAATGCCTTTCGAGTGTCATTTAATTTTCTTTTTCAATTATCTAAATATTGATAAAAAATTAACAGTCCCAAATCCTCGCTTCTTCCATTAAAGAAAGTTGGGATTACGTTTGAGTGGACATTCTGCTGATCCCAACTTTCTTGAATAGAAGAGGCAAGGATTTGAGACTATTAATTTTTTATCAGTGTTTAAATAATTAATAAAGAAAATTAGACAACACTCGAAGGATATTTGTGTCTTTTTAAAATATCACTTAACAGTTAATTAACAACTAATTAACAATAGGTACTAAATTATCATATTTTGAAACTTTAGGTATTAAATTGTTACATTTTAAAATTTGAGGACCAAAGTGACTGTAGACCCGAAGTACAGGATATTAATCGGAAATTTTCCCAAATGTAAATGTTCTCCCAACAAGATCGTAATAGGCATTTTAATTAATAGCTAAATGACAGATATCACTGTTTGACTGTATTTTCTGACCAGAAGATGTTGCCGTGTCTATACTCTTCAGGTGAAAGAAAGAAAGAGTAGAGTGGATTTAAATTCTATTTCCGCCACAAAAATGAAATAACTGATGTGGGAAGGAACGAATACCAATTCTACCAAGACATGGAATTCATGATTTTCCAGATTCCGAGAGGCTGAAACTGAAAGAAGGGTCCAAATGATGGAATCTCGAGATTCACGGAATTGGCAAATCCAATTCCATTTCGGCCTTGATTCCAAATCCCCCTACTCGAACTCTATAGTCTCAGGTCTCACCACGTCTGAAGTCTGAACCGCATAACCAGTAAAGCAGTAAAGACTGATCCCGTTGACACACCGGAGTTATTCCCCCTGATCTTATGGGTAACCACGATATGAAATTATAGGAATTCTTATGTGATTCCAACTGTAAATTATAAATTATAAAAAAAAATCCTAGAAAAAAGTTTGAATAACGAGATAAATTAAGTTCTTCATTTTATCAGCCAAATATCCAAAATCTTTTAACTACAGAAAGAGCCGGAAGAACTGGTTACTTGTAAGATCCTCTCCGGAAGAATAGACTTTTTTGACGTCTGAGAGGAAAGACGGTTTTACAGCTTGATCTTACAGAATATAGGATGTTGAGAAGGTTTGTTTTCTTCTTTTGCTCTTTTTTTAAGCATCTTTTCAATCCACAGGATTCTAATCATTATTTATTAATTGCACGTCTTTATACCTGTGTTTCTTTCATTCGAAAAGTTCAAAGAAACCGCAAGTAAAACCGATCTTAACCGCGATCAACCATCGGAATTTAAGATCACAGAAAATAATCTGAAATATATTTTTGCAAATATATCGAAGAAAAGACGTTCAATGATGTACCTCTGTTTTTCCTATTTCTGCTCAAAGTAAAACCATCGATCGTTGAGCTCTGAGAAAGATCTGACTCTTCTATTTCTGTTCTTCCTTTCCATAAAAGAAAACTAAGAAAAAATCCTTCAACGATACTCTGTATAAAATGCAACCGAAGGAGAAAAGAGAAAGAAAGCCTCTAAAGAGGGTTGTTGAAGAAGAAAGCGATTACGCGAATTGAATTCTGCGACTAAATAATCTTATTCTTCGGAGTTCGGAGTTCGGAGTTCGGAGTTCGGAGTTCGGAGTTCGGACAGGACAACAGACACGCTTGCGCGCAAGAGACGTTGGACAAAATGGAAACCGCTTTTCGATATCTACACTTTACCCATTATCTTGCTCCATAATTCCCAACCTGTCCATATTTCCCTTTCTGCTCCACCGTCAAAAAGTGCAGAAGTTTTCCGGTGATAGAGGATATGTTTGTAATTTTCTAGAACGCACGGTGGGTCCTATTACTATTAGGCTGCCGCGTTGTAAGTGGCTAGTGTCTATTGCTGGAATGACTTTGACTTTATTACCTCCTAAAATCAAACCCCTCAAAATCTAAATCCAATCCTTATGCTCCGGTCAACCTAGAATTTGCCCCTTGTTTTTTAACAAAATATCCTAAACAACCCCATCAGATATACGTGTCGTCAAGAGTCAATAAAAGTGATGTTTTACAATTTACAGCCCCCACCCCCACACCCCGCACAAAAAAAAGAAAAAAGAAATGAAGGGGTATGGATTACAATTAAGCCAAATTTTCAAATTTATTTTCAGCCAAAATCTACAATATAACAATATATCCACCGCACCGTGTAATTGGTTGGTTGAATGTACGATTAAATTAATTTTTCAAATTTAATTTTAAAGGCAAAATATATGATGAATCATGAATCCATTGCACTGTGCACCAAAAGATGTGATTGATTGAATATATAATTAAGCCAAATTTTCAAATTTTATATTAAGGCAACATGTGCATGCATCCACCGCATTGTACTACTGCAAAAAAATGTGATTGGTTGAACGCAGTAATAATTATAGTTTGTTAAATGTAAAAATATACTCTTTATGAATAATTTATCAATGAAAAGTAAGCAGGTCTTAATGTGATTATTTGAGATCTAAATTTAAGATGAAATTAATATTAATGAATGTATTATAGTTGAATTCTAATTTTTATTTAGGATAAAATATTTAGGAATGGCAATAGGGTGGGGCAGGATTGGGTTTTGCCTCCTTAACCCCAAACTCAAATGCCCCACTCCGAATCCCTGTGAGGTAAGAAATTCTAACCCATCCCTGCCCCCATAGGGAACGGGGTCCCCGAATTTGCCCTGCCTTCTATTAGTCATTCTTATTTATATACTTAAAAATTTATTTTTTCTTATTTTTTTTAAACATATTTAGAACTACTTGATATAATATAATATAATATAATATATATTAATAGTATATATACATATATACTGATGAGGGCGGATTTGGCCCTCCAATGATATTATGATACATGGCATCTCGGAACAAGTAGGTGACACCTGGAACCACTTAAGCAATAACTTGTCTTAGCCAAGTTGATGGTCTCCCACCTGGTGGTCTGGCCCAGGCACGAACTGGCGGCCTGGCACAGGCGCCGAACTGGCGGCCTGGCCCAGGCGCCGACCTGGCGACCTGTGGGACGTGCTCACCGAAAAATTCGGCATGCATATCCTAACACTCTCACGATCCTTGGAAGTTGGCACATGTGTCGAACGATCTGGAGGGTGGTCAATGTGCATGGCGGTTGCCTCTGGGAATCTCGGACTACTTAGACGACTTTTCGAAAATCTCGGATGCGGTGCATGAAGTCCACGCCAAACAAAGCCTATTTAAAAGCACCAACCCCAATGGCATAGGGGGGCAAGTAAGCATATTCTAGATCTCATACTTTGTGATTTTTATCTCGCAGTCTACTATGAGAGTACTGACTTAAGCATCGGAGCGACCTCGCCGGGTTAGCCATCCCGGGTCCTCTGACATTGATTCCTTGCAGATCTCTAAAGAACTACGAAACTCAACAATCAATCCAGCTCGCCACCAGGCAGCTCGGCCCTTTGGTCAGCTCGACAACTAATAGGAAGCTCGGCCCTCTGGTCAGCTCGGCACTCTGGTCAGCTCGTCACCTAACCTGCCTAGCTTGGCCCAATCAGTTCGGCACCTAACTTGCCCAGCTCGGCTCAGTTAACTCGGCACCTAATCTGCCCCCAACTCGGCATCCAGGTCCTCATCCAACAAAAGTTCACTTCGGCCTTTGAGCCATCGACCACTTGGAAGCAGACCAAATGACGAGGTACTTAGCATAAAAAATTGATTCATCACATACATACATATATACATGCATACATACTGGAAGGATAACCCTTCCCCTCTTGATCGGAGGTGGCGACATTACCGCAACAATCATGGTAGACTTGATCGTGGTTCATTGCCCCTCGTCCTACAATGCCATCCTTGGCAAGCCGACCCTTAATGCTTTGTAGGCCACGGTCTCCATGTTCCACCTCGCCATGAAGTTCCCCACCGAGTATGGAGTGGGCGTGGTGCGTGGAGACCAAAGAACTGCAATGTTAATGCTACTTGCTCTCATGTCGGGGACTACGCCCAGCTACAAAAACATTGATGGCCGATGCCTATGATCTAAAAGACGAGGTAAAAGCACAGTGCGGCCAACCTGTTGAAGACCTCGTCTAGGTCCCAATCAATGAAGAAGACCCCGAGAGGACGGTCCGGATTGGCTCTCTCCTAGATGATCGCCTCCGGGAAGAGCTTGTGCAGTTCCTGAGGGACCACACTGACGTGTTTGCCTAGTCAGTGGCGGATATGGCGGGGATCGACCCTAAAGTCATCACGCACTACCTGAACGTCGACCCCCACTACCGACCTATCAAGCAAAAGAAGAGGAGCTTCGCAATAGAATGGTGGCAAGTGATCGCAGACAAAGTGCAAAAGTTGCTCATCGTTGGCTTCATTCGAGAAGTTAAATACCCCGACTAGCTGGCTAACGTGGTAATGGTGAACAAAGCCAATGGGAAGTGGAGGATATGCATCGACTTCACTGACCTAAATAAAGCCTTCCCCAAAGACATCTTTCCTCTATTGAGGATCGACCAACTCGTTGACGCAACGGCAGGCCATGAACTCTTGAGCTTTATGGATGCTTTCTCTGGGTACAACCAGATCCGAATGCACCTTGATGACTACGAGAAAACAACTTTCATCACTGATCGTGGCTTATATTGCTATAGGGTGATGCCCTTTGGCCTCAAGAACGTCGGCGCCACTTTGGTGAATGAGGTGTTCAAAGACCAACTCGGCCGAAACGTGGAAGCATACGTCAACGACATGCTTGTGAAGAGCAAAAAGGCTGAGCACCACCTTTCCGACCTAAAAGAAGTCTTCGATACCCTCAGGAAGTATAAGATGAAGCTGAACCCAACCAAATGCGCTTCAGGGTTGGCTCGGGTAAATTCCTGGGGTTGATGGTGACACAGAGGGGGATCGAATCAAATTCAGAGAAAATGCAGGCCATCCTCAACATGCAATCACCCCGGACTCACAAGGAAGTGTAACGACTTACCGGTAGAGTAGCCGCCCTCACCAGATTCATGTCCAAATTCGCGGATTGGTGTTTGCCCTTCTTCAAAGCCCTCAAGCAACCGAAGGATTTCCAGTGGACCGAGGAATGCGAATGGTCCTTTCAAGAGCCGAAGCAGTACTTGAGCTCACCGCCTCTCCTCACCAAACTAAGCCCAGGGGATGAGCTATTGCTCTACCTCTCAGCTGGGGATGAGGTCGTCAGCTCGATGTTGGTTAAATAGGAAGACCAGGTACAGAGGTCGATCCACTATACCAGCAAAGTTCTCAGCGATGCGGAAACCCGGTACTCCAACTTGGAGAAAATGGCATTGGCATTAGTCACCCCGGCCAGGAAGCTCATGCCATATTTCCAAGCCCACAACATCAAAGTGCTCACCAACCAGCCCCTCAAGCAGGTCCTTCAAAGGTCGGAAGCATCTAGCTACCTAATCAAGTGGAGTGTAGAGCTTAGTGAGTTCGACATTGAGTATGCACCTTGTCCCGTGATCAAGGCCTAGTCCCTGGCAAACTTCATTGCCGAGTGTACCTTTACTTCCAAAGACCCAAACCTGCCGCCACAAGTATCAACTCTACACATGGACGGTTCATCGAATCAGAAAGGCAGCGGGGCCGGCCTCATCCTCCTCAGCCCAGGCAACATTGTGCTAGAGCACACTCTCAAATTCACGTTCAAAGCATCTAATAACGATTCTCAGCTAGTAGTCAACCAGATCCACGACCAGTTCGAGACGCGAACGCCTACCATGGCGAGCTATCTACAAAAGGTGCAAGAGCTCATCCACCAGCTTGAGCACTTCAACATCCAGTAGATCCCTCGAGCAGAAAACATGCGAGCTGATACACTGTCCAAGCTAGCTAGCTCTCCAAAAGCCGACCTCGACACGACAGTACGGTTGGACACGTTGAGCATTGCACCAACGACCCTCCTTATCCTCCCGATACAACATGGTTCATCCTGGATGGACCCCATTACACAGTACATTCGAGAGGGTACACTTCTGGAAGATCGGATAGAAGCAAAGAGGTTACAGAACAAAGCAGCCCGGTACTACCTTATTCAAGGTCAGATCTATCGCCGCTCGCGTACTCTCCCATACCTGAAATGCCTCTCCCTAGCCGAAGCAGATTACGTCCTCAGGCAAATCCACAAAGGTATCTGCGGAGACCACTCTGGCACACAAGGCACTCCGGCAAGGTTATTTTTGGCCGACTATGAAGAAAGACGCAGCTCAGCTAGTTCAGAAATGCAACAGTTGCTAGCAACATTCCAGATTACGTCCCCTTGAAGCCGATCACAAGCCCGTAGCCATTTGCACAGTGGGGTATGGACATCCTTAGTCCCTTCCCCACTGCGGTTGCACAGAAGAAGTTCCTCCAGGTAGTAGTGGATTACTTAACCAAATGAGTGAAAGTCGAAGCTCTGGCATGCATTACCGCACAAAATGCCCGGAACTTTTTCTGGCAAGATATTGTTTGTTGATTCGGTATTCTACGCATCCTCATTACAGACAGCGGGACGCAATTCACCGACCGAAAGTTCAAAGCTCTCTGCACCGACCTAAGGATTGATCATCAAACCACTACCGTATATCGACCCC